TGTCTCTGATCCCCGCAATCTTTGAGTAACTTGTGTTACCCATTTTCACATTGCCATAATCACCGGCTACATATCTGCAAAAAAGATATCTTACCGGTGTGGCATGATAAGATGCTGCTGTGTCAACCACCCATTCTGACTCTATACCTGCCAAGTGCATGCATTCTTCTTCCTCATTTATGAGGAGAACAACATCGTCATTATTTTGCACCATGGAAGCTGTGTTGTCATCATTCTTCTGGCCGCTGCTTTCCCCTTTGCCACTTTTTAGATTTGGACAATCTCTTTTGAAGTGTCCTGGTTAATCGCAATTGTAGCAATTTTTGGCCTTCAATTTTGATCGGACCTTGGACTTTCCACGAGCTCCGGATCTACCATAGTTAATTGAGCTCCTTTGGTAACTTTTGCCTCTACTTTCCGTGATGAGAATCTGTCCGTGATTTTCAGGCCTTTTTCTCATCTTCTCATTAAGCAAAAGGGCTGATGTGACATCCTTCAACTCAATAAAGTCCTTACCATGTAAAATGGTTGTTTCTAAAGTATCGTAGGAAGATGGCAACGAGTTTAGGAGCACTATGGCTTTATCTTCATCCTCGATCTTTACTCCGATGTTTTCTAGCTGCGTGATTAGTCCATTAAGTACATTTAAATGAGACAAAAAATTTGTACGTTCACCCATATGTAGCGCATATAACTGCTTCTTTAGGTACAATTTATTTTTCAGCGTTTTGGACATGTATAAATTTTCTAACTTTGTCCAAATGCCAATGCACTCTCTTCATCGATGATGTTATTAACTACATCATCTGTTAAGTGCAATCTGATTGCACTAGCAGCCTTTTCATCCATTTCTTCTCAATCCTCAAGTTTCATGGATTCGGGCTTTTTTGATTTGCCGTCTAGTGCCTTGTGCAAACCCTGTTGGATGAGCAAGTCTTTCATCCTTCTCTGCCACGTTGAGAAACCACTATCACCGTTGAATTTTGCTACCTCGTACTTTACTCCAGACATTTTTTTTATTGAGTATAGTACAATAGGCTGCAAAAAATATTTTTGTAAATGAGAACCTGTGCTCTACTACCAATTGTTGGGAATAAATCCATAATAGAAATAATATTTGTGGTAATAAAAGCAACAAATGAGGAACACAACAATACGGTTAATCAACGAGAATAAAAGAGAAATAATGACACCAAGATTTTACGTGAAAACCCTCCTAAATAAGGGAAAACCCACGACCCCAGAGGAGCAACAAATATCACTATAGTAAGGATTTTACACTTGTATGTCTGAGTAAAACT